TATTTAAAATTTGTGGCACGGGGCTCAGTCACCCGCCCCATCTCCTGGGGCTCTTTGGGACAATATGGATAATGTGTTCATGGGGGGTCAGAAACACCCAGGTGGGGAGGGGCATCCTCTGTAAACAGCCACACAACGTCCACATGCGCCTCTTTACCGACGTCCCCCACCCAGAACGTAACGACCACATTAAAGTGAGACGCCCGCCTCCGGTGGCCTCCGCCCACTGCACCTGAGGTGATGACATCGCAGACGCTGGCTGGGGCAGCAGAGCAAGAGCCCAAAGCAGTCCCTTTTCTCTGTATCTCACCACTAATTTAAACGTCCTGATCACCTGTGTGGAGACCTGGCCGCACCTGGGCCACGCCTGGGGCTCGTCCAGTGGCATCCCCGTGATGGTCTCCGCGCGATGGTCTCCCCGCACTCAGTTTCCTTTGCAGCCACCTGTCTCTCAGCCACAGACGGGCTCATCTCTCTCCTTCCTCATTTACATCGCGTCCTGCAGGCCCTCGAGTCCTCTCCCCTGATATAGGGCTTCCTTCTGGAAACCCTTAAATCTGTCTCCTTCAGTCCCCTTGCTACCTGCCTGGCACCGCCAGCGTCTCTCAATCCGTCACGGCCTCAGACCGGGCAGCTCTGCGTTTTCTGGCTGGGTAACGGCAGAGATGCTCATCCCTCCTGGGCTCCTCTCCTGGTAAACCACCCGGCCCCGTCTGTGGAACAGCAGAGAGGCCTCAGCGAGTAGAGTCTCAGTGAAAGGCAGGGCTCCGGGTCCCACTTTCACNCCGGCCCCGTCTGTGGAACAGCAGAGAGGCCTCAGCGAGTAGAGTCTCAGCGAAAGGCAGGGCTCCGGGTCCCACTTTCACACGGGCGAGAACGGAAACCACGCGAGGAGCCTGAGGCCAAGTCTGAGCCTGATTCACGACCGTCCCTTCTCAACCAACAGCACACGGCCGGACACACCACTGGAGCATGACAGTGACACCGAGTCAGGTATCTCGGTCGTCAGAGGCTCCGGTCTAATCCCACGGTGGCGCCCTGAAGCTGCCTGGGAACTTTAAGATCAAGGATCCGAGAGCCAAACTCTCCGACACACCTGTCACCATTTTCTTCAGAGCTCAGAAAGCGTCCTTAGGTACACAATAATTTAGGTCCTGGGAGGACGCACAGCGATAGAGCAGAGAATTATTTCAAGTTACTGATCCTACTTCCGACAGGGCTGCTGCTCACAAAGCCCGACGCTCTGCCCAGGTTGATGAGTTTGGGAAAATTCATTTCATATTCTGTGCGGATCATATGAAATACAGTCTACAAGTTCAATAAGCAACAAAACTGATACTCAAACTCCAGGAGAGTCAGCCACATATAGGAAATTAATATTCCAGCTCACATGTAAAAGCTTCCTGACACCCCCCCCCCC